ACTGACAATGCTATACATTTAGATTACAATGATTTAGATTGTCACTGCCTTCTTCGTTGACGCTTTTATGCTACATTCCTATTACTTCATAATGGCATACAAATAAGTTTAACTGAATCACCAAATATGTGATCCTAGCATTAGCCCACTTTTGTTCTTACATTTGCTGTATCTTCTATTTTCTTTAATATAGTGTTCAGCTTAATTTCAAAAGATCTTGCGATCAAGCGGAAAGGTCACTAACCATTGGTAGTTCGACCCGAGTTTCTAATCCCGGAGGTCCCTCAGCTCTTTCTTTTTTGCACATATTTACTGTAGGAAAATGTATTGTGAAAATTTCAGTTCATGAAGAAAAAATAGTTTTTGAATTTATTCTTTAAAAATTCTGCAAAAATTTTCACCTTTACCTTAGCATATCTCTTTACAAATCCCTTTAATAAGAAAAAATAAGCAAAGAAATTAACTCTGCAACTAGTTCCAAAATCATAGAGTTTATATGAATATCAATAAATTATGGATTATTTCTCATCTAGTTTTCTTAACATGTTTATTCGAAAATTTTCCTTTCACACTGTAGCATTTAACTTTATGAGATTTACTTTATGAGATTTCTATAATCATTCACTTTCTCTAGCTATGACAACTCTGCGTACCTTCTGACAAAAGTAGTCATATTTTTAACCACTGTATTTTAATTCCTGTTGATTATTAGTACATTATTTACTTGTTTCACAAGTGCACCTTTTATTTTATGCGCAGATCTATGCAAAATAGCAATAAAACTTCAGTTATGTGGATCGATTGTTTGTTTTAGATTTAAATGAAATTAAGCTTAATGTTGCTTTTAATTAACTTCTTATTAATTTAATTATATGTTTCTAATATTAATTTCATTATTTTATTTCAATTTAAATAGAAATGGGTGGTGAGAGTATTTAGATGTATGAAATAAAATTTAATGTTCTGTTTTTTGCAAATATATGTGTGTAGTAATTTTTATTTTATTTACATTTGTTTATAATTTTGCACGAATGAAAAGGATTATTTAACTGTATAAGCTTTGCTGAGAGATAAACGAGAAAACAAAATTCTATCACTAGCGGTCAAGAAAGTGTTTGATGTAATAATTCTTATATATTTTCTTTGATAGTTTTATTTATTTTCTTTCATTTATGCATTATTACTTAGTTCTTTTCAAAAATATTTTTCTGTGCCTTATGTCCGCATTTCACTTTCAAGGAATGCGTGCTCCGTGTAGGGTACATAATGCCTAATAAACTCATGATATGAAAGAGATCTAAATTCTCTTCTCATTTCTACTGTATTTTTTTACTTTCAACCCCTAAGAAATTTACTCTAGAAATCGTTTTCCATGATTTTATATTTTATACTTATTTATTTATTTTATTCATACTTTAACATTTTCTCTAATTTTATTCTTTATCACGCTAACCTGTTTTTAAGTAGTTTTCTCAATACTTTTGTAATTTAAAATTATTATATTTATTGTAACATTCATTTGTTTAAATAGAATGGATTGCAATAATTAACTTACAATTTCTGGGTAACATGAAACACGTCTTAGGAATTCTAATCGTGAAATCATTCCATACCTGCGCTTGTTAAGTAAATTCTCGATTCTTTCCTTCCTGTTTGCGTAATTTGTGTTTGGTGTTTTTTTTTTTTTTTTTTTTTTTTTTTTTTTTTTTTTTTAAATGCTGCTTCACACTATTTGCTATTGCAGCGTATATATATCTATCTGAAATTCACGAATTACATCTGTGAAGAAAATTGATTAGGATGGGAATGAGATAAAAATTCACACTGAATTTTGAATGAAATGCTTCACATGCATTTTTTGTTCTTTCCGATGAAATATCAGAGCAAGCCCAAAGTATCGGGGGAAATTTTGCATCCTGATCTAGGTAATTCTCGGTTATGTAATTAGTAAAGCGTGTGATGTTTGCATCCCGTGGTTGCTCTTACATCAGATCTTCAACGAAGCTATCCGAAACTTCAGTCGGTCAATTTCTGAATTACTTACTGTCCCTATATTATTGCTGCAATCCGCACTGCTGATGTTTTCGCCAACAAGTCAAGTGGAATCTACATCCTGTAATAGAGCATTCAAACCACATTTTTCTCACAGCTTCATGGGTTGCATATTCAAAATCTGCCACTCAATTTCTAGCTGAAAATTCAAATGCAATTTAGAACAGAGTTCTTTCAGTTTTTGAAACATAAAGTTTCGTATATTGCCGTAGACTTTCCTGGTAGCAAAAAAAAATATTCAAGTGGGATATAATGTCCATTTTCCACTGTATGAAACGTAAACATCTGAAAGGAAAATTTTGGGCAAAATGTGAAAGTGCCACCATCAAAAAAACCTTTTTTTTGGTCACATAAGATTCCTTAAATTTGAATCTGTTTGAAAAACAAACTATATTATTTCTATCGTCATTAATCTGAAGAAGATTTTCATGTCAATAAGATATCACTTGCATTACATTTAATACAGAATGCACAACAGAAATACATTTTGGAAGTGGAGGCAAGACTTTCCTTCTCTGTCGGTATACATATTTCTCCGAATAGAGTGAACATCATAACAAGCTAACAATATATGAATGATGAGCTGCAACATTAGTCAATTCTTTCCTGATTAACTTCTGAGGTTTCCCAGATGTATCTTCCGTTGCATTCTGTTTAGCACCGTTGGAAACAACTAGTCTAGAAATAGTCTTACAACGCTCATGATTGTGACACACATAAGATTTTGATAACACATTATTTGTCTTATCAAGATAAAGTGTTGATTTGCATTTTTTACTTGTACAACGCCATTTTTGGTACTCTGCTCTGTCCTATTCCTTATAAAATTTATGCCCTGAAAAAAGAACGAGAATTTTTCCTCTCTGACTGCGAATAAACTCCCTCATAGGTAAATATGCTTAAATAAAGCCAATTTTAATTCACGGTTGAATTTAAAACAGAAGCAAATATATTTTTTACTAAGATGTTTTTTTCTCTGGATGAAAGTCAAGGAATCGTTCGAATCTGATTGAAAATTTAGCTATTTAAGGAATATACACTGGCTTCCGGTTGTAGGGGTGAGAAAGGTCAGAGCCAATAGTTGTGCTCATGAAGAATGTCTTCTAACCCCACATGTTGTTACAAAGATAAATTTAGTGCCTGCAAGAGTAATACGAAACCTTCTGTAAGTCGTCTGAAAATTTCTTTTGTGTTATACAGCAATTAACAAAAGTAAATTTAAAGCAATGTATAAAAGAAACTAAACAAAAAATGAAACGGTTTTTCACAGACAATTCAATGTTTCTCATTCAATTAATTCAGTTCTCACTTCACGACAAGTCAAAAACGCATAAAAATTCAAAATATCTATATTAAAAATTACGAAGTAAATCTTAAACACTTATTGCCTCGAATAAATTCCATAATGGATTAAGCATGACTTAATTCGCAGCAATAAAAGAAGGCGTTATCTTTGTTGTTGCGAAGCTTAGTTTCTCTAGATTGGCAACAAATCCACTATTCTTCTAAGTTTCAAATGTAAACACATATGGCTGCTAGGATAAAAATAGTTAGGCTTAGCCGCACTTGAACAACTTTTATAATTGTTGATAAAGTATTACGTGTAGATTTACTAAAGGCATAAAAACCTTAACCGGAATATAAGAACAGCATAAATGAATCCTTTCTAAAGCAAAAAATTCTCAATTAACAACATATAAGAATTAAAAAACTGAGCTCATTGAGCCGAGTAACAGAGTAGGTATATATAATATGTATATATTTATATACTTTTGGTGCGGCCGAATGCAACCAAAAAAGGGAGGTGCACATTTACATGTTATAGCAGTCCTGTAAACAAAATTTCAACGTTCTGAGGCTACTCATTTTTGAGTTATGCGAGATATGTAGACGCATACGTACGTACGTAGAGATACCATGAAAAAATCTCTTCTGAATCCATTTTAAATCAGTTTTATAATTCGTTTGGGGAAATAGAGTCCTTTATTCTGTCCTTACGTACAGATGTCACGTAAAAACATCGTTAAATTGCATTCAATAGAGGTCAAAATGGATATTTTCGTTGAAATATGGTAACCAAAATTTTTCGTGATTACAATACTTCATTTACAAGGATGCAAAAAGTATAAATTAAAACGACCCGCTAATGTTATTCAGATATTTCCAAGTATATTACACAAACTTTTGCATCCCAATTTTTAGTTTTTGGTTTAAAAAATAAGCTTTTATTTATTGAGAGGCCTGATTGATTATATTAATTTGCAGTACTGTTTATCTAATTCTTTTCTTCTAGATAAATTTTAGAAAAATCTTCTTAACATAATAATTTAAATTTATTTAAAACTTATACGTCAGTGTTCCAAACGCTAAACTAGTAATGTTGTTATAATAGATTTCATGCTAAGTTTTTTTTTTATTTATTTATTTAACTATTAATTTCTACAAACATTTGCATGATTACTACTTTAATTCACAAAAACTATTTCTAGCACACTTTGATATGGAATAATCTTTTGCACATCAGTGAACTATATTAAAGTTTCCAGTCTAGTTCAGACATCCTGACTAATATCGATGCAATTTATTAAAAAATATATATAATTGGTATGCTTTATAATTATTTAATTTATGGTATTATTATAATATTCTTTGCTGTAATGTAATTAACGAAAGATGTTTGTAATGCTAATATGTATGTTTACTCTAATACCTTTTATTTTCTTTGTTAGATCTCGCATTTATTACTATTATTCAAGTAATTAGCCTGCTTGTTAGATATTCTTTACTTGTTCATGTGATATGAAATTCTATTTGTTTATTTTTATCTTCCGCTCAGCTACAATTGGCTTGGAAAAGTAAAATTGTAACCCTGTAGTTCCCCGGCAGGAAACGGGGGAAGAAATTTTGATTCGCGCAGTTGGACTATACCCAGACGGGAGGGAAGACGTTTTTATTCGCGCAGTTGGAGTACAACCGATTCGCAGAATCAAGTCATTTAAAAGGCAATCAATAAATTTTTATTAAAATCGTGTTAAATGTGGTAGATTGGTGGAAGAGTACTATAGATAATAAAGGTTTGAATAAATTATTGATATTACTGATTAAATAAATCATTAGCATGTAAAACCTGTTGTTTTTATTTCTTATTGTTAAAAAAGAAAAAATCATACTCATTAAATAGAAATAAGTGACAGGGATTTTGCAAACGATGTGTATAACTTTGATGTCCTGTACAAAGAAAAATCAAGACTCTTCTTTCTTTTTTTCTTTTTATAGCAAAGAAAACTGGCAACTGTGAAACTTTGGTAGCGGTGTGATAACTTCATGCTGTGATGAGTAGCAGAGGAAGCAGGTCCAGTAAACATAAATAGGATCTCCGTCCTGTTTCGATTATTAAAATTTAAACTTTTTTTGGTAGGTAATACCGCGGAATTATGTACAAGATAAAGATCACATCTACTCATGATATACGAACATACATAACCGTAGCCTTCGAACATGTCACAACTGACGTTCTGAATTCTATAAGAACTGGAAAACCATTTGGACTTCTCACATGCGACCAAAATACATATGCGGAAATCTATTAATTAAGCTGCACAAAACGTGAACAATATTTCTACCTTTGGAAATATAAACAGTTCTTTACTGCATTATATAGTTTTTTTTTAAGAAAAACCTGAGGCTGTATGCATCATTTCTATGACACCCTCTGTATATCAGTCATATTTTCGATAAAAATCATAGCGGTAACTATCAGCTTTTCTTCTGTTGTTAGAATATTCCAGTATTTAAAACTGTTTTAGTAAATACATCTTTTTTCATATCTGTTAAACAAAATTTTAAATTACTTTTTCATTCACATCATTCGAACTTTACAATAGATATCTCATTATTATAAAACTTAATCCCATATAACGAAAGCAAAAAATGATTATTAGTTTTTTCTCGTTTTTATTGGAAAATTTCTTATTGATTCAATTTAGATTTCTGCTATCGTATCCTTATTGCTAAAAACAAATTTCGAGCAAAAAATAAAAGTAATTTTAAGTATTGTATATTTTTAAATAAAAGTAATTTGCATTATTAATTTAATAAATTAAATCATTAACACAATACTAAATTTTTGATAATACGGTACATTTTAATTTTATATAACTTAACTTGAAAATAATTTATTTTTATTTATTTATGACGACAAATATTTTAAAAATTTTGTCGTATTCTTAATTTTGTTGGTATATCAATTTAAAATCATCCTATCTGCTCCCGTATTCATCATTTTTTTTTTTTTTTTTTTTTTGTTGATTCAGTTTTAGTCAAAGAAATTTGAGATTTCACTGCTTAGTAAAAAAAGCATCAAAGGGATAATCATTGGTGTAATCTAGATACTAAAAGTCCTTTGTGGTTATCATACAGTTTCCTTTGACTCATTCTAACGGAAACACTATTAAGCCTAAACTCTGAAGCAGGATTTCACATTTTAATACGCGAAAGCAATAACTAGATTTTGGGGCGAATTTTTCAAATAACAATAATTAAGTTGGAGGACGATTTGATATTTTTAAGTGTTCGGTGTCAACTTTTTATCAGAGCTTCATATAATTGCGCATTGTTGTGTGTGACTTATCTCACATTTCTGACAGTAAAATCATAACAAGCGCACGAAATTCATCGTGACAAGGAGTGCACGACTGTTCCTGCCTTTGGCAAGAGCCTTGAGCACCACACAGATGACAGAACGTCTTCGCTCAGTTTCGCCCCCAATTTTGAGCAAGAGCACTCCGCGTAACGTGTCCGAAGATCTCCCACCCTTCTTCCCCTAAAACCAACCTCTCGAGAGGACTTTCGGCTCGCCGCATAATTAGAGTGACCCCCTGCCGCATGGACACTATACATTTACACACGTCCATGCTTTCTCCGGGATTCGAACCCGAGCCCTTCAGTACCGCAATAGGCTCCCCTAACCAGTAGACCGTCTGGGAATTATTGATATCAGTAAGGAAATTATAGAATTTATATAAATCAAACTGAATATCAAATTTTAGAATTCGGTATTGAATGATTCAAAGTTAACTCTTCTCTTCAAAGGGAATTTTCGAGTAATTTCTATTTCTCCCTTCCGTCTCACGCTGTTCAGTGTCATGGCTTATGAAAGTTCCGCCCTGTACATAAATTATGAAGTCTGCGTCTATTTTCACACTTAATATATATGAATTAAAAGGTTCAAGGTTCAAAAATAGTGGTTGCTATGTAAAACTGTATGGTTTCATTACTTTGGAACTAAATAATAATAAAGAAGACTCAAATCACAAATTCATGGGTTATTCAAATTCAGTTTTTCTGAACACTTTTAAAGTAAAGATTCGTTTAAAATCATTAACTAAAGCTGACATATTCCTGTTGATTTAAGAAGGTGCTTCAGAGGAAAGCTTCAATTCATGAATAAGAATTTTTCATTAACTTAAGCGTAAGATAAGTATTTTAAAATATGATACAGAGTCCAACAATAATTAGTGGTAAAATACGTATTAAAAATTATTTTCTAAACTAAATTTCGTACTTGTTAAAGCGAAATTCTAAGCCGTTTAGGTTTAATTAATAAGTGCGAAATGGGTGTGGCTCAACCGTTTCGGGGCTCGTAAGATTTCATTAAAGCTTTATCTAATTCTCTAATGAAAGTATTCGTTTTTTTATTTCATTGTAAGAAGAGTATTGCTCTTAGCTACATGAAATTTCTAATATTTTTAATTATGAAATAAAATTAATATTGGTTAATGTAGAATATATTCATTTCAGAAATTAAAAATTAAGTATAATTTGTAGTCATTTGTCTTATTTAAATACTGTCCTGGAATTCTCAAATTTAACAGTTCATCAGGGAGGTTGTTGTCCGTGAAAGATTGCGCATTCCTGCATTAATCATATTAAAAAAGATGATTTTGAATTCATGGAAAACTCGTATTTTAAATTTCAGATAATTTTATTAACAGAAAAGAGCTAAATTACTTCGGAATAATGCACGATTGAGAAGTTACTTTCTGTTCTGTTGAAATCACCATAGAATTTTGAGCTGTGATTAGAATCAATCTAAAATTGAATTTTACCTCATTTTTGGTTTAAAGTTAATAGAAAGAAAATAGTACAGACAAAAGTAAACAAAACAGCAAATACCTAAACTATGCTTAGGGAATGCATGTCTTCAAAATAACTTGCTGACCTTCAATTTATACAGGTTTGCTAATCGATTACAACTCAGTTTGGATGAAAAGAAAGTATCCTTGCTATCGTGTTAAGCATGTAAACCGGCAAAAGAAATGCAGTCTGTTTTTAGTTTAAAGCCTAAGTGTTTACGGATGAGTAGACTGATATAGAGCTAGAGAAGAGACGTTGATATAAAAAAAAAAAAGAGAGAGAGAGAGTAAGGAAGGAAATAGGAACTTCTGCATAATGTATTACATTTCAACTGCAAGTACATAAAATTTTCAGCTTATTACAACAACTGACAGGATCAAGTTTCTAGGTCTTTACATATTTTATATTAATTCATATCATCGGCATCATGATAAAGCTGCGAATCTTCAAAAGCTTTATTTCAATGAAACGTGCTTCCAGACTTAAAAATTGCCTATAAACGCATTTGAGAAAAGTCGCGCTGTATAGGTCAACATAAATATTTGGAAAAAAAAATTGGAGGGGAATGTATGTGTTAAGCATTTGCAACAGAAAAACTGAGTTCATTTTGAGTGGAAATAATTAATTGCTTATTCCTCAGTTGTTCCAAATTTGGTCTTTATTTTGTCAATAAATTTGAAATCATGAAATTTTTGACTGGAAATCCGACATTAGTTATTACTATTAGATTTAAATTTTTAAGCTTTTTGTTAAAAAAAAAAATTAAATAGACTCTAAAGAGACAATTTTTCTTTACATTACAATGACTCTGAATAGAACCATCTTCATCAGCAGCAGCAACGGAATAAGAATGTTGTTGTGTCTTACTAGCTGACTTGTCTGATAGTAACAATAAAACAAGCCCACGGAATTCATAGTGGCAATGAGAGCAAGACTGCTCCTGTCGTTGGCTAGTGCCTTGAGCACCATACAGATGACAGTACGACTTCGCTCAATTCCGACCCAGTTTTGATGAAGAGCACTCTTGGGGGGAGCGGCTCCGAGGGTCTCCCATCCCTCTTCCCCTGAAACCAACCTCTTGACAGGACTTTCGGCTCGCCGCATATTTAGAGTGCCGCAAAGATACTATGCATTTACAAACATACATGCCTTCTCCGGAATTCGAAACCTGGCCCTTCAGTATTGCAGTAAGCTGCCCTAACTATTATACTGTCTGGGAGGCTAAGGATAAAAATATGTTTATGCATTTTGAGCATCTGTTTAATTATTATTTCATCACTCTTCAGATTTTTTTCCCAAGAGGTAACTTAAAAGTATTCATTTATTTAAAACTTTCATGAAAAATTTACATCGCATCCGTGAAATCTGTAATAATTCAATTTTAAAATTAAAGAGTGTTAGCGTAATCTCTATAAAAGAAGCATATGAAAGCGCATGAAATGATGATGGCGATTGTTGTCGGCCAGGAGGGCTGCATGGCATTCTTATTACTTTACCATCCGGAGCAACTTAAGTAGTCGGAATAAGCCTCTTTCCGAGCGTTCGAACTATGTCGCATTTTAGCTAAAATATGTTTGGACAAAGAAACTTGATTAAAAACAGAATCCTGGTTTTTTAACACCCTTTATTTTCCATATTTCCCTTATTTATCTTTTATTCGAATAGTTGCACGGAGTTTTTCGATAATTCAAGCTATCTAAATGATGCGACGTTTTATGGCATATACTGAAACAAAGATTCTCAGCCGATTGGGGGGGGGGGATTTTATAACTCGAAGAGGCGAATGAGGTCAGCCTTATTTTTAACTGTTAAGTACTTAGTTTTAGTTTATGAATATAAAAAACGACTTTTATTCAAAATTCGTATTTATCAATATTTTGTGTACTTTTTTCTGTTTACTTAAACACATTAAAAATAATATAAACCTAAGTAAATGAATTTTTTATATTCATTTTAATCTGAATGAAACTATTGGGGAGAAAGAGAAATATGTTTTATATGTAGTTTTACCAGCAACTGAGTGATTGAAGACGAAAAACGATCGCGTAATCGGCGTCGGATTTTCTTGCTTGTAACTAACAGGTAAACGGAAAAGTTTTCGAAGTTTTCTCAATGTGCAGCATAAAAACAGAAGATTTCTTAAGAAAGTCCTTCAAGATCTTCCTTACAAGGACATTCTGCTCCTAGCAGGTTAGGTAGATAGTGTTTAATCGGCTTATCCTCTACGCAGGTAGGCGTAATGCACTTTGCTATAATTAAATGATGCATTCTAATTTATACAATTTAATTTAATGCAGTATTTAGATTAAAATGAGAGCAGCAGAAGGGAAAGTTACATGGACTATTCATATGTACATCAAACTCTCATTTAAGCAATCAATATTTTACTTTTCTAAATTCATAACTAAACTTCGAGAATTAATATATATATTTCATAACCTGAGAAATCGAAGCTTAAGTTAAAAAACAATTGTACTTTAAATTACAGTTTAAAGTGCGAAATTTTGCGTAGCCAATACGCAAAAGCATTTCGTCGCGCAGTGAGTAAAAAAGAAGACGTTTTGATATTAAGCATTGCACATACTGAAGTCTTTAACTCGAAAAAAGCAAATATCTTCATAACTGATCCAAATTACAGTCTATTTCTTAATGGCA